CTTTTCCGCCAAGCATGCCTCACTGCTCACACATGTATTTTTATATATTTTATCTGGAGGTCTAATTGTGGGATTCCATTCTGGGAGAGTGGCCATTAGTTTATCAGAAAGACATTGATATAACCACTGCATTATCCCACGATTCAATGTCCCCTCTGTTCCTCCCTCCTGTTCCTTTCTCTGTAATAAACAGAAGCTCTCTTTTATTGCATTCCTTTCTTAAGATAAATGCAACACATGTAGAGGGGCGTTGAGCCCTCCTGCATGCCTGTCTTTGACCCCTTTCGATCTTATTAGAATGCCACTGAAACAAGGCAGTAGGTTTCTGTAGTCCAGTAAAAGAGCAGGTCTTTTTTGATATTTACACAGTTTTAAGTTAAATGCAAACGGAACACTACAGTATGTTATACAAAGTATCTTACCAAACTAACTAAGAACTAACAATTAGAATAATTACGGGCCTATGAAATACATTTAATTTTTTCCCCCCACATTCCATTTTATTATTATTTTTTTTTTACAAATTTCGTTTGCTCCATTTTAAATTTTCTGGTTTCCGTTTTTTTTTTTTCTTTTTTTTTCTTAACTGTTGTAATATTTCTGGACTCTGTTTTAATGATTAAATCAAATTTTAGTTATCAAAAAGCAGGTCTAACTAATTGATATTATGAAACATACAATTTAACATTTTATTAATTTATTTATTTTTTTATCAAAAATAAAATTTTTAGGGTCCTATGAAATACCTTTTTCCCCAAATTCTGTGTTTTCTATTTGAATTTTCCAGAATTCCATTTTAATGGTTTAATAATATTTTAATTATCAATAAAAAAACTTGTCTGCTTAATTGCATTCATAAAATGTCTTTCTTTCTTTCTTTCTTTCTTTCTTTCTTTCTTTCTTTCTTTCTTTCTTTCTTTCTTTCTTTCTTTCTTTCTTTCTTTCTTTCTTTCTTTCTTTCTTTCTTTCTTTCTTTCTTTCTTTCTTTCTTTCTTTCTTTCTTTCTTTCTTTCTTTCTTTCTTTCTTTCTTTCTTTCTTTCTTTCTTTCTTTCTTTCTTTCTTTCTTTCTTTCTTTCTTTCTTTCTTTCTTTCTTTCTTTCTTTCTTTCTTTCTTTCTTTCTTTCTTTCTTTCTTTCTTTCGTTCTTTATGTATTTATCTTTTAATTTATGTAATAATAGGGCCCTATGACATTATTTTTCAAAAACATGTAGGATTCATATTTAAATTTTTCTTTTTGTGGTTTAATATTCACAGACACTGAAAAAAATGATACTACATTTTTTAAGGTAAGTGGTTGCAAACAATTTATTTGAGCTACATTTAAAAAAAATGTTGACAGTTAAACTAAATTTGTTTACTTAAATGTAGCTAAAATAAATTAATTGCAACCAAAAACATTTTGAAAATTAAATTAATCATTTTTTTCAGTGCACTAATCCATCATAATCATGATTTGAAGTGTGTACTGAACAAAACCCAACAAAATTTGATATAAATCCATTCCGTGTTATGTGGTAAATTCCGTTTTTATGAAATCTGAGATAACTGAGATGTCGCTAAAAACGTTCACAGCTCACTCACAGATGAAGTTTTGGAACTTTGTATGTAATTACCCGCTCCACTAGTTTGACCCAGTCAGGGTGACTTGTGAGCATGACAAGCAGACATAATCGCATAATCGGCCAAATATAGTGATGTAGAGGCACCGCCTGCGTTTCTCAGCAACACCCTCACATTCACATCACACTTTGAATAAGGGCTCGTGCATCATTGTATTAATTGTATATACACACTTGTCCCCTGTAATTTAAATGGCTAAATAAACATACTAAATAAGTTTAAAAAAGTAAAAAGTTTTCTGTTTAAGGGTCGGTTTAGGGAACAGAAAATATCCTTAGCTCAGCATAAAAACCATTACGCTTATGGAAAGTTCTCATAATAATAGGAGTGCCAGCATATGCGTGTGTTTTAGTAGATGAGATCATGTGAGCGAGTGGGTGTGACATGTAAAGCAGCTCCATCTCTCCTTCTCTCAGTGTTGGGAAGCAACTAACTTTTTTTCAGTAGCATGAGAACACTGTAAAAAAAACCTGTGGAATTTACGGTAAAAAAAAAAGAAAAAAAAAGCCAGCTGTGGTTGCCAGAACTTTACCATAGAAAAATGCAATAGCAAAATGTTATGCTTGCAGTTTTAACTTAAATTTATGGTTAAATTTACATTTGTTTTTTTACTGTAAAAATGTACATGAGCCATAAAATATCATAAAATAACCACAGGAATACCATTAAGCAGACATAATCGCATAATCGGCCAAATATAGTGATGTAGAGGCACCGCCTGCGTTTCTCAGCAACACCCTCACATTCACATCACACTTTGAATAAGGGCTCGTGCATCATTGTATTAATTGTATATACACACTTGTCCCCTGTAATTTAAATGGCTAAATAAACATACTAAATAAGTTTAAAAAAGTAAAAAGTTTTCTGTTTAAGGGTCGGTTTAGGGAACAGAAAATATCCTTAGCTCAGCATAAAAACCATTACGCTTATGGAAAGTTCTCATAATAATAGGAGTGCCAGCATATGCGTGTGTTTTAGTAGATGAGATCATGTGAGCGAGTGGGTGTGACATGTAAAGCAGCTCCATCTCTCCTTCTCTCAGTGTTGGGAAGCAACTAACTTTTTTTCAGTAGCATGAGAACACTGTAAAAAAAACCTGTGGAATTTACGGTAAAAAAAAAAGAAAAAAAAGCCAGCTGTGGTTGCCAGAACTTTACCATAGAAAAATGCAATAGCAAAATGTTATGCTTGCAGTTTTAACTTAAATTTATGGTTAAATTTACATTTTTTTTTTTTACTGTAAAAATGAACATGAGCCATAAAATATCATAAAATAACCACAGGAATACCATTTCAGTTGCAGTGTACCATGCCAATTTAATTCACAGTAATTCAGAGAATCAGGAGAGCAACTTAATAAATGCCTTGTGATTATAATAGCAATTCTTGTACACTGTACACCAGTTAGCTCTCGGATGATTTCGTTTTTTTCAGGGATGATTTTTTATTCTGTTTCTTACGAGCTAGTGGCCAAAAGTTGACACTAGTTAATAGTGCTGTCGAATGATTAACCGCGATTAATCGCATCCAAAATAAAAGTTTTTATTTACATAATATATGTGTATGAACTGTGTATATTTATTATGTATATATAAAGACACACACATACAGTATATATATTGAAAATATTTACATATATACATTTATATATTTATATTCTTATATGTTATATTATATATAAATATATTTAATATGTAAACAGCATATTTTTCTTAAATATATACATGCATGTGTTTGTATTTGTATATACATAATAAATATACACAGTATACACACATATATTATGTAAACAAAAACTTTTATTTTGGATGCGATTAATCGTTTGACAGCACTACTAGTTAATTATCAGCCAAAAGATACTTTTTTCATATATTGCAATTTCCCAGCACATTGATTATTAACACTGAAAAAATTATCCAGAAAAATTAAGAAAAGCTTTATAGCAGAAAAATATAAAACCCTTTTCCATTGTGCCCTTTAGGGCTTTTCTATGTTGAACATCTGTGTGCATAATGTACACAAGCAGTAGCTGAAGAGCATGTGTGCTAATCGCTGTTCATTGAGCATAAAGTATTTAGTGAGAAATACACAAGCGCTCTTACAAACACCTGGGCTCAGAGGCAGTTAAACCAAAGTACCTATAGGGCAGATCAGTTACTTGACAGCCATCTTGGTAATATTTCTGAGCAGCTGTTTTCAGTGTAAGTAACAGGCATACAAGGCATACAGCTCCTATATACTTTAACTTGACTGGGGAAAGAGATAAATCTCTGAAACTATTTGTCAGGATTACATTTCAATAACACATTTTGAAACACCAATAAAATCTGACAGCATCAGAGGTCTGTCTGTCTCTGGTTGTATTCAGACTTAGAAAATGACTACCCTTTGTCCTCACCTCCATACAAACCATAAACACTCCTATTATTAAGATTACATAGAACTTTTCACCTCTATGTTGCTTTTATGTTTATTTGCCACTATGTTGCTTTTGTGGCTTTTTTGAGATTTGGTGGTATTTTAAAACAGCAAGACATCAGGACGGATTCTCTTGAACCAGATGGCGGTTTGTTGTTTGTGTCTGTTAAATGTTATCCTGTCCTCCCATCAGCATTCTTCTACCTTTCTCCAGGTGTTCATAAGGAGGTTTTAGAAGTCCAGAATTTGACCAAATTTGGAGTACATCTTATAGTTTCAAGTTTTAGAACTTGTTAAGATATAGATCAAAATGGGTTACACTCTTTTACCAATTCTTCTTTTTTTTTTTTTTTGGTCAAACAATTCTGTATATTTAATAAATCTACAAAATGTCCATTTAAATTTCAAATAAATCATTATTTTTAATGCAGCTTAAATGTTTTTGCACAGTTGTAGAAAACATTGTGTCTCACTTTAATCAGTTTTATGCACAGCCACAGAAAACAAGATGATTGCAAAGTTTAAGATTACTCTGATGCAGCATTTTATTTGCATAGAACAAAATCCACGGAGCTGCCTGTGATATTAGATTATTATTGCTGCATATTCTGTTTCTATTGGCTGATACACATATTTAAGTATGACTTATATGCAAAATCTTTACACAGAATTTAGCAACGAGCCACTTTATGTTGCCAAGTTCATTTGTTCCCCTGCACTGTTGCTAAAAATTGAGATGCATCAAGACTAATTTGGCATTGGATTATGACTCTGAATTAAAATGGAATTGAATAAGAATTCTAAAGTTTCTCCAGCTCTACCTAATGCTGAGATTTTTTTGGGACCAGATGGATTTAACCTTTTGTATATAGCAAAGTCACATCTGTTAACTGTCAGGCAGTCTTTATGTCTTCTTCTTCTCTAAGTCTCAGCCATCACTCTTCTGCATCTCTCCAGGTGTTCCTGACGGTACAGCGGCTGTAAAAGTTTCCATGGAGGGAGGTCATCCACTCCCATCGCTGGCGTCTGGGGAAGCAGCAACTCGAGTAACCAAAGTCTTGTCTCACACCCCTCAGGGGATCAATGGGAGCATGCCATCCATTACAGGCTATGCAGGAGCACCAGGTAAGTGTATTCAGATACGTGTGTGTGTGTGTGTGTGTGTGTGTATTTTCTAATAAAAACATGTAAAAGAAAATCGGGGTTACCTCAAAGAATTTGTTGAATTGTTCTCGACAGGTTATCCAGGGATTCCAGCTGCCGCTCTCAGTCCTGACTCCGTTTCTGGTATTCAATACTTCATTGTAGCTGAACAGTGTTGGGGAATTACTAAATAAACTAAATAGCCACAATTATGAGGGTTCAAGCTTTTTGATGTAACTGATACAACGATACAAACTCAATTTTGTTCAAATCAGACATACAACCTAGGAGTTTGAAATTAGGTTTTTTAAAAGCAAATGCAAAATGATTTCCTTACAGAAATGGATACAAAAAGTAAATTAGCTTATAATGCAATCTTCTGTCTGATTCTTACATAATTTGGAACACTGCCTAACGAGGACAGTATTTGCCATATTTTATAGTGATCAGCCATTCACAACTGAACAAATACAGGGAAGTTCAAGTATGGGTACTGTGTCAAAAAATTACTCAATTATGTCTAACCAAAATTTACTTCAGTGAATGTAAAAAAAAAAAAAAAAGTTAATTACCCTTAGTTTAAATTAAGTGATGAAATCAATAAAATATTTTTCCAAAGTAACTGATGATGTATGTAAAGACAAAACCTATTTAATGATAATTTTCCCAATGGCCCACCACTTTTTGTCTTTGTGTTTAGGTATGGCCTGAAATCAGCAATAAAAGCTTGATTATGTAACTGATCTTGCTGGAATAAATGTAGTAAACTTATTTTTAGAAGACATTTACAATCTAATAAGAGTATCTTGACATCAATTCTGAAGAACACGGGTAGACACAGGAAACATTCACATATACAAACAAAATGCATGCACACACTCACAAAATGCTTACACAAAAACACAAAAATTTGCTTTTACCTTTCACATACACATAACACTCATTAATTCACTTCTTTTACCTCTCTCTCACACACATAGCAATCGCACATTCACTGTACAGATGTACAGGTTACAGTGTTTTCTTGCTATGTAAGTATGTGTTCCCATTCCCTTTCAAGATACTTATTGGTTTTGCACCAGATAACTCGCCTGTCATAGAAATGAAATTATACAATGATATAACTATGACATACTTAAAGTATGTTTTACTTTCGAATCATATATATCATCATTCATTTTCACACTGCCTTCACTGGACCAATCCGCTGTCTGCTCAAAGCTGGAGTAACTTTGCAGATCAGGACATCCTTCATTGTTGTGCATTGTGATGCATTAGATGCTTCATGTGGAGACTGGATAATTGCTGTACTATAGAGATGTGTTTCATCTGCATACTGATGAAATTAAATATTATATTCATGAATTACACTTGATAAAGGAAGAATGTATAAGTTAAATAATAGAGGACCCAGGATTGAGCCTTGAGGGACACCACAAGATATCACATGTTGTCTGAAGGTGTGAGGATCCTGCGCAACGTAGTAATCCCTGTTGCTTAAGTAGGGTCTAAACCAGTCTAAGACTGGACCTGATAGACCAACCCAGTTCTGCAGTCAGTCAAGTAGATATCATGATCAAATATGTTAAAAAAGGAGCACAGAGATCTAAAAGAAGTAGGATAGACAGATGACCCCAATAACTTTAAATAGCATTTCACTCAGGTTCTTTTTAATTTTACAATGTCAACACTATTGATTTTAGGGGTCCCAGAGACCTCACAGAGACCATAGACTTGATTTATAAGGGGGCAACAGAGTTAAAAGCCCTGGACAGGAGAGATTAAAGCATGCCGCTAGAGTGTCTTAAGGAGAGAGATGTAAGAGAAGGGAGGAATGAAACGGGCTCCATGAAAGTCAAAGCTGTATCAGCAGTAAGATATAAGTGACAGTCCTCTTATCACTCAAAGTGTTGAGTTATGTTGGTATATACATACTGATAACATTAGTGTTCAGAAATGAACAAAGAAAGCTTTTTCTCGCTACTTTTTTGTTAACTTGCAGTGTTGCAGTCACTAGTAGTGAAGCTCATTGCTTTTCAATAGCTTTTCAGTAGTTTGAATTTCAGTAACTTGGCTGTAGATTAAGTACTTTAAAACTGCAGCTTGCCAGACTACAAGTTATGAATAATTTAAAGTTGCTTCCCCAACACTGGCAGAACATAACATATATGTATTGAATATTACCATTTTATACAATGTATTCACAACTGTTTCTTTCCTGCATCTACAGCACAGATTCCACTGAGGACAGTACAAATGGCCACAGGTACAACTAAACCTCCCGTATATTTTACAGAGCTGTGTTGTCAATAAGTGACAGTAAAGTGAGTGTGTGTGTATTTATGCAGGAGAAGGGCGAATGATGACCTATGTGTCGTTTTCGGCTGGTCTGACACTTGTGCCATTCCCTGGAGAAATCGGCATCATCCGATTCAACAATGTTCTGTTAAATGATCACATAACACTCATTAATTCACTTCTTTTACCTCTCTCTCACACACATAGCAATCGCACATTCACTGTACAGATGTACAGGTTACAGTGTTTTCTTGCTATGTAAGTATGTGTTCCCATTCCCTTTCAAGATACTTATTGGTTTTGCACCAGATAACTCGCCTGTCATAGAAATGAAATTATACAATGATATAACTATGACATACTTAAAGTATGTTTTACTTTCGAATCATATATATCATCATTCATTTTCACACTGCCTTCACTGGACCAATCCGCTGTCTGCTCAAAGCTGGAGTAACTTTGCAGATCAGGACATCCTTCATTGTTGTGCATTGTGATGCATTAGACGCTTCATGTGGAGACTGGATAATTGCTGTACTATAGAGATGTGTTTCATCTGCATACTGATGAAATTAAATATTATATTCATGAATTACACTTGATAAAGGAAGAATGTATAAGTTAAATAATAGAGGACCCAGGATTGAGCCTTGAGGGACACCACAAGATATCACATGTTGTCTGAAGGTGTGAGGATCCTGCGCAACGTAGTAATCCCTGTTGCTTAAGTAGGGTCTAAACCAGTCTAAGACTGGACCTGATAGACCAACCCAGTTCTGCAGTCAGTCAAGTAGATATCATGATCAAATATGTTAAAAAAGGAGCACAGAGATCTAAAAGAAGTAGGATAGACAGATGACCCCAATAACTTTAAATAGCATTTCACTCAGGTTCTTTTTAATTTTACAATGTCAACACTATTGATTTTAGGGGTCCCAGAGACCTCACAGAGACCATAGACTTGATTTATAAGGGGGCAACAGAGTTAAAAGCCCTGGACAGGAGAGATTAAAGCATGCCGCTAGAGTGTCTTAAGGAGAGAGATGTAAGAGAAGGGAGGAATGAAACGGGCTCCATGAAAGTCAAAGCTGTATCAGCAGTAAGATATAAGTGACAGTCCTCTTATCACTCAAAGTGTTGAGTTATGTTGGTATATACATACTGATAACATTAGTGTTCAGAAATGAACAAAGAAAGCTTTTTCTCGCTACTTTTTTGTTAACTTGCAGTGTTGCAGTCACTAGTAGTGAAGCTCATTGCTTTTCAATAGCTTTTCAGTAGTTTGAATTTCAGTAACTTGGCTGTAGATTAAGTACTTTAAAACTGCAGCTTGCCAGACTACAAGTTATGAATAATTTAAAGTTGCTTCCCCAACACTGGCAGAACATAACATATATGTATTGAATATTACCATTTTATACAATGTATTCACAACTGTTTCTTTCCTGCATCTACAGCACAGATTCCACTGAGGACAGTACAAATGGCCACAGGTACAACTAAACCTCCCGTATATTTTACAGAGCTGTGTTGTCAATAAGTGACAGTAAAGTGAGTGTGTGTGTATTTATGCAGGAGAAGGGCGAATGATGACCTATGTGTCGTTTTCGGCTGGTCTGACACTTGTGCCATTCCCTGGAGAAATCGGCATCATCCGATTCAACAATGTTCTGTTAAATGATGGAAGACACTATGATCCACAAACAGGTACATTCATTTATGACAAGACAAAATCATAAATGATCATTTATTTGCAGTGTTTACAAAAGCTACCTTTGTGAAAAAGAAATGCACTGTATTGTATTGAATGTGCACTTGTTGTGAACTTCAAATCTTAAAAGAATATATATTTTTAAAAACTTGCAAATTATATAATATTAATGAAATAAGATCACTTTAAAGAGAGACACTTTCATAACTATGTTATGTGAAAGTAGAACTGTAAAGTAGAACTATTAAAAGTCCTTCTTTAAAGTACATTTTAAATCGTTATGTTTTAATAATCTTTAGTCATGCTGTAAAGAAGCACACTTATTTTGGTTTGACTAACAGTAAAGCACGTAAGATTTGTTTCTTAATATACTTAAGTACACTTTTAAAAAGTGCATTTTGTAATGTCAAATCAAAAGTTTTACAAATTAAATCATTACATTTTGATCATCTGTCATGCTTTAAAGTATGTTTATTTTTGATGTGTTATATATAACTTACTAAAGCACATGTGAAGTATCTGAATATGATTTTAACTGTAATGTGTTATTCAATAATATATTTTGAATGTACTAGATTGCAACTTCATTATTACAAATGTCTTAAATAACTTTAAAGTGTATTTTAGTTTACCATAAATGCTTGTCAGAACATTCAGCAGTATTTTAACCATAGACAATACAATTATGAAATTAAGCTTAAGCGGCTCCTAAAAATTCAGCTAGCTGCATTTAATATAAATTGAAACTATAATACACTTTATTTAAATTGCATTTAACATGCATTTAGAACAGAATACCATACACCTTTTTCCACATTGGCCAGTGAATTTTCTGTAGAAAAAAAATCATACACAATAACAATAGCATTCTAGCATTTTTGTAATCAGAATCTTCATTTTCTAGGTGTGTTCACTGTTCCCCTGGATGGACGGTACCTGCTGAGCGCTGTATTAACCGCTCAAGCGGGAGAAAGAGTCGAGGCCTTTCTCTCAGTAGCCAATCGCAACATCCAGAAGCTTTCCACTGCTGCAATGGGTGGCAGAGACACTCAGGACTGCGTCTGTGGAGGGACCGTCTCTGTAAGTCTTGCTCTTCATCTGAAGCGGGGCCAGAGGACGGGACTGGTGCTCACATCAGGGAGACTGGCCATTTCAGCATCCAGTGAAATCCTGTCCTCATTCAGCGGAGTTCTGCTTTACCCAACAGTAGGAAAGCCATAACCCACAGCCAATGGCAAACATTAAAGGGGTCATATGACGCTGCTAAAAAAAGAACATTATTTTGTGTATTTGGTGTAATGAAATGTGTTTATGCGGTTTAAGGTTCGAAAAACACATTATTTTCCACATACTGTACATTATTGTTTCTCCTCTATGCCCCGCCTTTCTGAAACGCGTTGATTTTTACAAAGCTCATCGGTCTGAAAAGCGAGGTGTGCTCTGATTGGCCAGCTATCCAGTGCGTTGTGATTGGCTGAATTCCCTTACAATACTGTGATGCCGTGTCCCGGCGCGACGAGACAAAACCAATAAAACCCATTACAAACGAGGCATTTGATCGTCATGCTTTAATGCATTATAGTTTCTAATGGTGTAAAAATGAAGTATTAACTATAACTTTGGTTGCAATTACCCATGAGATCATGTACTGAATTATAAAGTGACACAATGCATTAAGAATGCTTTACAGGTGCATCTCAATAAATTAGAATGTCGTGGAAAAGTTCATTTATTTCAGTAATTCAACTCAAATTGGGAAACTCGTGTATTAAATAAATTCAATGCACACAGACTGAAGTAGTTTAAGTCTTTGGTTCTTTTAATTGTGATGATTTTGGCTCACATTTAACAAAAACCCACCAATTCACTATCTCAACAAATTAGAATATGGTGACATGCCAGTCAGCTAATCAACTCGCATTTAATTTATTTAATACACGAGTTTCACAATTTGAGTTGAATTACTGAAATAAATGAACTTTTCCACGACATTCTAATTTATTGAGATGCACCTGTACATATAATGCATTATATATACAGGCTTCAAGTAAAGCGCTGTCAATTGAGACATAAATCAAAGCAGAGAAACAGAATGAGAATCCGTTTAAAAACAAAAAATGACTACAGCATTTAGAAACGTTGTATTGATTGTTAATTGGAAGAACAAACATGATTTTGCAAGTTTATCTGGTAGGGTGCTAGTAAATCTACAGATGTTTTTTTATCGTAAAGGTTGTTGCACCTCGACCGCGAGTCATTTCTCAGAAGTTAATTCCACACAGAGCAGTCAGAACAGCCTCGTTTATATGTGGTTAATATAATGATGAAGCTATGAGTTTTACAAAATGATTCACAGTCTGGGTGGAACCAATGTTGGATCCAAATGTGGACCGCAGTCCATTTATTGGCAGAAAAAAATGCCAGAAAACAAAATATTTTTGCACATTTCAGGAAAACTGCACAGAGATGCACAAAGATTTCAGTAAACTGTAGCAACCTTGACCCTACAGCAGATCTAGGTCAATTCACCTTGTTAGAATTTTCCACACAACACTAACACTTTTCACCAGTTTTCAATAACCTCACCAGGCTTAAAATAGAAATCATCTCACCCAACGACTGAATGAAAACTTCTTCATGACTCAGTGTTGTTGGCCTTTGCCCAAACTCAGACATTATTACACACCATTTCCACCCAGTTTTTGGCAGATAAGAAGATATTTTACCTACATACGGTATATTTTTAAAAATGCATAAATACTATGGAAGATTGGTTTTATTTTGTGTGAAGAACATATTGGATATTTTGTCTGTAGAACAATCATTTGACTGAAATTTGTGCAAAAAATCATATGAACAATCACTGCTCCTAGATGTGTTATTTTTATTTAGATCAACTGTAACTGTAACTACCTGAATCTTTGTATTTTATCTAACAATTTATAGAAAGAAGCTTTATCATATTAAATGTCATGTCATTATTGCTACCGTCTTCATATCTTTCGTGTAGAAATTCTAGAAAAACAGATACAGTAAACTACTATAAAGAAGTGCATCCGAATGTCAGAACTGATGATGAATATCATCTGCAAATAAATGTCCTGTTATAAATAATTGCATTTCATAGTCTTGTGTTTGTGACCATTTGATGAGTGACTTTCTGTATCTCTTATATTAACCAGGGTTGCAAATGAGATTGTTCAGCTGAAGTATTCTGTTGTTTTCATAACCAAGAGCATATGCATAATGCTGTTCTACCAGCACTGTTTTTAGGAGAGAAAATCTGAGAGCATTAGAAGGTGAAAAACATTGAGTAACAATAACTGAGGTGTTGCTGTATTGATGATAGTCATTTAATAACACACTTATTGCTCAATTGTTTGGTTCTACACTTTAATTAATCAAACATATAAACATGCATACATATTCAAAACATTTTCCTATATTAAATTTGTATTCTAGTACTCAATGTTATGGTAGCACTACTTGTATTAGATTAATAGATTTAACAAACATATTTCAGATTAATAGATTGTGCTTGTATTGTTTTTTGCAAGCTAAGTGAATGAGTGTCAGTGAAACTATACTGCGAGCTAAAACTAAAGAAATATTTCCAAGATTTCCAGCAAAAGGGCTGTAGACGGGTGGATGGTGAAAAGTGGGTGTATTCAATTACATTTAGGACTCAGTTGGAAAAAAAAGTTTTTCTTTGGAGTAACATGCAATGACTAATTGTACAAAATTAAACCAGGAACATGTATTAAAAGTAAAAAAGGCATTGTGACATGGAGCTATTTAAAAGTGAGATGGGAGGAAAAAATGGATTCATTCTCTCGCTAAGTAGACGTTTTCTACATAACAGTTCAGAGTGCTGCGAATAGATTTAACAAACATATTTCAGATTAATAGATTGTGCTTGTATTGTTTTTTGCAAGCTAAGTGAATGAGTGTCAGTGAAACTATACTGCGAGCTAAAACTAAAGAAATATTTCCAAGATTTCCAGCAAAAGGGCTGTAGACGGGTGGATGGTGAAAAGTGGGTGTATTCAATTACATTTAGGACTCAGTTGGAAAAAAAAGTTTTTCTTTGGAGTAACATGCAATGACTAATTGTACAAAATTAAACCAGGAACATGTATTAAAAGTAAAAAAGGCATTGTGACATGGAGCTATTTAAAAATGAGATGGGAGGAAAAAATGGATTCATTCTCTCGCTAAGTAGACGTTTTCTACGTAACAGTTCAGAGTGCTGCGTTCATATTCTGGGTTCATCTGCTTGCCTGTACAAAGTTTATATTTTTAATAAACTGTATACCAAATTTGGGCTTTTTATATCACTGTCTTCATCCAGCCATGTTAAGAGTTTTCTATGGTGGAGAAAATGCAAGAGTTTTGCGAGCGAACGCAAAGTTTATCCAGGGAACGCAAACGTTTCGGAAGAGAACGCCAAAGCTTTGAAAAATATTTTTCCTCCCATCCCATATTTTTTTCCACCACCATGTTCTTTTAGGGGCTCTGTAAAAACTTTTGAGCTCCCCGAGAGACTTTGCATTTAGGGCCAAGGAATAATAAAACAAACGAAACCATCTTGAGGTTAAAATTATTATAATGCAAGATTAAAGTTGTTAAATTTCAAGAAACTCATTAAATTACGAGAAAAAGTTGTGTTTCCAGAAAAACTGGCTATTACTTTAGGGTCGTTGATGGTTGTGCCTCCTTTCTCCATAGATTGAAACGACTGTAACCATCTGTACAGCCATTAATGGAAATGCCGTGAGGTTTTTTAGTTTAGGCCAGCAGTTATTGAAAATATTGATACATTCTATTTACACTAAGTGACAACAGCAGCATTTTTTAGCGATGTGTTACACTTAGTGAAAATAGTGATTCTATTTACTCTATGTAAAGTAACTTTACTCAGTATGATTTCTCCATCCAGCTAGGTTCTTCTACAATTACCCCATCGTTGGGTTAGTCCATATTTGACCCAACATTGGGTTGAAACAACCCAGCATTTTTTAGAGTGTACTTGACCTCATTATAAAAAAATATAAAAAAATTATATCTCTTTACTTATTCCTTCTCTTTCTAGCTTGTACTTATTTGAACAATGTCTAGAAACTTGGTATTACAAGCACTTCCTGTATCTGTTTGCCTCTTTAAGAAGAATCGCTTTATGTATCCCCAAATTGTAAGTCGCTTTGGATAAAAGCGTCTGCAAAATGACTAAATGTAAATGTAAAAGTATGTAAAAGTAGCAGATCTTTGCAATAAGTGTAAATAGTAATTACATCAGTGGTGGGCCATCAGGGCCAGCGAAGCCTTTTCTGCTGGCCTAAACACTAATCAGAATCACTGACTTAGTTTTAATATATTTTCCCATGAATGTGTATTAAATTATTTCCAATAGTCTATTGTCTTCATTTCATAGCTTTGCTCTTGGTTACGCTGCTTTCAGTAGTGTATATTTTCATTAGAGCTTTTATCCAATCATATTTCAGCAATCGTATTGCCAGGGTCAAAGAAATCTGCTTAATAAGCCCTTCAGAATTAACAGTGCAGGCGTCTGTAGCTTAAAATCAATGGCAATGAAACCGTTGCTTTAAACAATCAGATTTCGAGTTGGCAGCACCAGGGCCATCTAGGGCAGGCTTATGATAACGTCAGCATTTTCTCGTCTTTTGATTGGATGGTCATACAGCGTACTAGTCAAAGCTAGCAAACAGCATCACTGTAAATCATTGTAGTTTTCACAGTATTATTACTGTTTCAAAGGGTTCTTACTGTATATGTTGTGTACAGTGCGTTATTGTCGATTTTCAGTGCATTCTGAAAAATATTCGCCTTCTGTAAATCTAAATAAGTAACTTACTAAATGACCGTGAAAAACAAAGACACACCTCCTGGGCACCGGCTCTGTGAAAGACTCGTGAAGATGAAAAACTACTAGTATGGTAGGTTAAATTTCATTTTTGACTTTTTTTTTAGTTATATTCTGATGTTATTTGCAAGATATAAAGACAGGTTTAAGTTTTATACCAATGTTATCTGTAAGGTATAAATACGTTTGAGTTAATAAACATCGGGTGGACTATATTTGTGTCTTTTTGTTAGGTTAATGCTTCAGCTATAGATGAGCGTTGCACAGCACAACTTAGTAATAGCATTCATTCTCGCTACATGAGATACCCGTCTGTGATGCAATGCCCTGTTATACTGCATTTCTGTGTAATATTTATGGTTTCTAATAGCCGTGGCATCATTATGATGGTATTAAGAGGTGGATTAATTCATGTAGGACGCCACTGAGCTAGATGCTATTTATACTTATAAATAGTGACAGATACTATTTGCACCTCAGTATTGTTGTGCATTAACAGTTTATTCTCAACATTTTATTTCGACTTTTTTTACTCGAAATGTATTGCTTTTTTCTCTTTCGAAACGCAAAGACTTTATTCTCGAAATTTTGAGTTTATTCTCAACATTTTATTTTGACTTTTTCCCTCGAAATTTACCGTTTAATTTTTTTTCTCGAAACACAATGACTTTATTCTCGAAATTTTGTTTATTTTCATCATTCTATTTCGACTCTGTTTCTCAAAAAACTGCAAGTTTAATACCGCATATCCAAAGCGACTTACAGTGCATTCAGGCTATACATTTTTTACCAGTATGTGTGGTCCCTGGGAATTGAACCCACGACCTTTTGCGCTGCTAACGCAATGCTCTACCACTGAGCCACAGGAACAAAAATCAACCACTATTTCTGTGCGGTAATTTTTGTTTTGACAGTTGTGTGAATACTGAATATAATAGTGTTAGTTGCTAATGTTTCGCATTTTTACACTAGTAAACGTACGCTTACCAATTTGTTTTTCATTACTTGAATTTAGAGATGCACCAATAAACAAATCAAGGTGTTTTTCATTATGGCATAAATGTGTAATTTTATTATTTGGAATTAAACCCCTCTGTTGTTTTTCAAGCTCATCAGCACTAAAAAAAAAAACTCTTTTGACTTTTGCTTTTCAATGTGGCACAATTTCTACAGTTTGTTAATGTACTAGAAGAGATTTTTGCTCCAGGTGCGTAAAGCCAAAAAAGTCAATGCAAACAAAGAGATCGCTGGCTGCACACTGAATTAAATCCAGACTGGAGAAGGTCTGCTACATTGTGCAAATGAATTGTTTTAGTTTTTAATTCACTTGCACTGTGCACTTTTTGCACTATGTAGTTAATATAAATGCTATATAAATAAAATATATTTTTGCTAGACCTTCTCCAGTCTGGATTTAATTCAGTGTGCATCCAGCACAGTTTGTTAATGAAAATAAGGTAACGCTTTATTTTTCAGTGTCCTTGTTGCATGTACTTACTATATTAATAAGAGTAAATTATACATAATTACATGCAACTAAGCCTAAGCCTAAACCAAACCCTAACCATATAGTAAGCACATGTTGTTGTTGTTACTTAAATATATAAGTACACTGCAATAAGGACACCTTAAAATAAAGCATGTAGTATTGTTCCAATACTGCATTAAAATGGTGCATATTTACCATTTCTTCTGAACATTTGATTGGGTCATGACAAACTATTTATGAACTGTTTTGTGAGAGTGTGCATGTTAAATCTGAAGTTGAGGGTAAAGTTAGACACGGTGTTCAGGTTGGTTGCAGACGACGGGACATCAGCGGTCTCAGATGCAGAATTCAGGAAGGAGGGATGTGCACGATGAGGAAAGTGTGGAGACAAAAACAAGGGACACACAGAGGAGGGAGTCGAGAGAATATGTGCTCCATTTATTGGAAATAACAGAGGAAGTCATCATTATCTGTGAGGTCAAAGAGGAAGTGAAGTCATAACTGCTGTCACAATGGGATCGTGCATGCAGTGATTCATTAGAAATGTGAAACATTATAGAGAACCCGCAGAAAGCTTAAAGCAGGGGCATGGATTCATTTAAACACCATTTAAAGATTTCTTTACAGCATTGATTGCAATATGGACTATTTGATGTTTACTTGTGAATCTAAGCCCCTGCTTTTCAGGACTGAGTAATGATAAGCTATACAGAAATGGAGCATCCATTTGTCCCTCAATTCAAAAGTGTCAATCTTTCATGCACTTCAGTGCGCCTGTTTCTTCTCAGTAAAACTACACACTCTCAACACAACCTGGAGTCAAACTGCATTCATTCTCTAATCTGGGCTTTAAACTATTTTACTAACACCACGATGGAGAAAACGGTCAAGTAAGCAATGTAAGCTCTATACAGAAAAAGATTTGTTTCCAATTATAGCACTACATTGACATTGATGGATTAAACCTTGGACCAACTCTTTTCAATCTGCAACCAAGATATTAGCACCATGGTCTATCGGTCAAACGTTTGCAATAATTATGATTTTTTTTATAAATGTTTTTTAAAATTCGCTCATGCTCATCAAGGCTGCATAACATTTTTTTTTTTAAAAATACAGTAAAATTATTTTATTAGAATGATTTCTAAAGGATCATGTGACACTGAAGACTGGAGTAATGCTGCTGAAAATTCAGCATTGCATCACAAGTATAAATTACATTTTAAAATGTATTTAAATTGAAAAGTGTTATTTTAAATGATACAAATATTTTGCTTTTTTGCTGTATAAATGCAGCCTCGGTGAGCAGAAGATTCTTTTTTCAAAAACATGAAAAAAATCGTAATTATTCCCAACTTTCGACCAGTAGTGTAGCTTCAGATTGTCAATGTAAATAGGGCATTACTGTCAGCGTGTCATCTAAATCTTGCAGATTTTTTTTTTTTTGTAATTTAGTTTTGCATAATCATAATGTTTATTTTTTTCTTTTTGGTTGGTTTTATTTTTTCTTGCCGGGTTCCTCATCTGGGATGAAGACACTTACGGTGAAGTCGCCGCTCTCCGTGCCGTACTTGTTCTTTACCAGGATGCTGTACTTGCCGGAGTCAGACGTACTGACGCTGGTGATGGTGAAACTGGCAAACTTGCCCGACTCAAACTTCAGAATGTAGTGATCGTTGGAAACCATCTCGCGCTCATTCTTTAGCCAGGTGACCTCGGGTATGGGTTCGCCCCAGATATTGCAGGTCAGGTTCAGACACTACGAGAGAGGAGCGAAGAGACAGTTTTGTTATTTTTGTGTCATTTTTGTCTTTTCAAGCCATACAGAGAAGCATGTACACTACCTTGCCCTCTTGGATGGTCACAACATCAGGCAGACCACCTGCCACACGCGCACGATCTATAAAAAACATAAGAATTAGACGATTTCCAGTATCTGCAGAAGATACAAATGCAGCGAAGGCTTAAGCATGTATTTCTGCCTTCATCTACTCACTTCTCTCTGCAATAGCTGCAGCCCTGAGGAAAACAAAATTGAAGATGGGAAAAGATCGTATCATTAGTTATTCAACCGCTCGAGCTGAATAGTATCTGTCACAAATCACAAATCATTTTTGGTGCTTACTTGAGTCTTTGAAACTCAGCAAATGCATCGTCAAATGCTGAAAATATAAAAGTTAAATTTAAATGCACGATTATCATAAACATTCCGTTTCAACGCCTCCTGAGCAACCTAATTAAACAGCATTTTAAGTATCTTTATTCATTTTTCCTCATTAAAAAATGATATTTTAAATAGATATATGAATAGTACTTCTAAAAATCCTACACTCCTATGAGTATAGCCTAAAACCTGTTTTTATTTACATGGAGCTGCGCTGCTCATTGGAACCACAGTTTTAAGGTCACATAACCAGACCAGTATACTGGCTTCATCTCAGTAATCTCCTATTATCAGACATTTAATAAATTAATCCTGATTGATTGCAAATGGCACATTTCTACAATACACAGAGCATCTCGGCCGTATGGTTAGACTTCAATCTGCTGTTTGCTGCACTTATTGTGAAAAATATTACTGAAAAATATCCAAGAAGTGCATTTTATCATAATTTTAGAAAGAGAGCTTATTATGGAAATAATAATAATTTAAAAGAATATACTTACGCTTGAGCTGAATGTAAAATTTTCAGAAACTTAACTGCATATTAATGACAATTCAGTGAAAATGTATTATAGTTAAAATTTGTATTAAATGCAATTAGCTGAACTTTAGAGTGATTTTTACCCACTTAAGTACTTACTTCTATTGTCTTCGAAAGTACTGCCGAATGTACAGACAAGCTTTTATGATAAACTAAAATATTCTCTAAGGTAATTTCTATTGAAACTTGTATGTCATGTATTTAAATATATTGGTAATTACACATTACAAATGGTAAACATGCAATTGAACACATTTAAAATATATTTACTTAATATTAAATTTAATATCAAAGTACTTTATATGTGCTTTAGTATGTTAGTCACACATCATATAAGTGTACTTTAAAACATTACAAAATATTATCAAAACGATTTAAGTTTTTGTAATAATTTGACATTTTTACAAAGTGCACTTTTTAAAAGTGTACTTAAATATGCAAAGAAACAGTAATTAAAGTGTCTCTGTTAAAAGTGGCCTTTTATTTCATTATTATTATTATATTATTTGCAAATATAGTTTTTAAAAAAAATATCCGGTTGCACTTTATTTTACAGTATGTGTACTTCCATGTACTTACAGTGCACTTATAGTGTAAGAAAGCACTGGTAATATAAGGTAAGTACACGAGGTAGGGTTAGGTTCAGGGTTAGTACCTAGTTATTACCTAGTTATTGTAATTACTATAATAAGTACATAGTAGTACACTACAAGTGCACATTCAGTACAGATGTGCACTTATTTTTCACAAACGGAGATCCCATCACAACTAAAGTAAACCACAATGAGATTTTTGCCCGCTGTGGCCATGGACAGGGTTTTTTAAATATTTTGGTCCAAGTGCTCTCATTTTTTCAGAGGAGAACGTATCTGACTGTTGCAGTTCAACGCTTAGTTGCAGTCGTAATATAATGAAGGCAGCAGACAGCAAACACACACACACACACACACACACACACACACACACTACAGTGAACACAAGTTGTAGCTTTTCATGTCTTGGTACTGAGAAAGTAATAATGTTGGTTTGCGAAAGCCCATATGCTGATGTTGTACTTGATGTTGTATTTATACTGTATGTTGCTTATGTTTTATATATATATATATATATATATATATATATATATTAGGGGTGTAACGGTACACGTATTCGTACCGAACCAACCCAGTGCTGGGTAAAATAGGGACAAACCCAGCAATTGGGCTGTTTTGACCCAGCGGTTGGGTTAAATGTTTAACCCAACCTTCTGGGTAGTAACCCAACCGCTGGGTCAAAACAACCCGATTGCTGGGTTTGTCCATATTTTACCCAGCACTGGGTTGTATTTAACCCAGCATTTTTTAGAGTGTACAGCACAAACTAGTGCACATTAGTGTAAGGAGTGAGTTTTATAATAGTAACAGTACTTTTGAATCCCTTTTCTGCTATGTTACCTTGGTCTGTGAGGTTGAGGGTGGAGGTGTCTTTGCCTCGGTCATCCTTCAGAACTACTTCATATATACCAGCATCTTTTTTGGAGATCTGCCATGGACACAAACAAACACAAAATTCATTAAAACTATCACATGCCTACCAGTGTGTGTGATCTCCAATCTAACACTACAGGAGCATATGTCAGAAAGCCAGGCTTCTCTGAGTTGCACGTCTTTAGCACAACATTTTCACAACAGGGGAAGAAAATAATGTAGAAAGAAAGATGAAAACTTGAAGGACTAGGAAGACAGAGGCACAAAACAACAACAATAAAACAAGTATGAGTATGACAAACAAAGAGACAGAAACTGATGAAGATCAAGTAATTAATTCAAGTCCAAAAGACATAATGATATGTGACCCTGGACCACAAAACCAGTCATAAGGGTAAATTATTATTATTTTTTTAATTATGTGATAAATTATACATCATCTGAAAGCTGAATAAACAAGCTTTCCATTGATGTATGGTTTGTTAAGATAGGATAGGATATTATATATTATATAACATTTGGCCAAGATACAACTATTCACACACAGTATATGTAAGCTGCATATTTCAGTTCATTAAAAAAAATTAACTGAAAAAAAATTCCTGACAATATAGTACGTAAAACATGGCCACGATTGAACTAAAATGAAGGAACGAAATAATAAAATGTGCATGTGACTCGTGAGAATGATACAGTGTATTTTTCTGCATGTCATGTGTGGGGCTCTGTAATTTAGACATTTTCCAGATTTACATAAAGTCTTCTTTTGAGGCTAAGATTTCTAGCTAAACTAAACAATCACATATTTATAGCTGTATATTAAACTTCAGATATGCTTGTCGAATTTGCTCTCTGAAAATATCCTTAATGCTAGAAACAAGTCATGCATGCTTAGAGGGTTAGTTCACCCAAAAAGTAGAAAGAAAGATGAAAACTTGAAGGACTAGGAAGACAGAGGCACAAAACAACAACAATAAAACAAGTATGAGTATGACAAACAAAGAGACAGAAACTGATGAAGATCAAGTAATTAATTCAAGTCCAAAAGACATAATGATATGTGACCCTGGACCACAAAACCAGTCATAAGGGTAAATTATTATTATTTTTTTAATTATGTGATAAATTATACATCATCTGAAAGCTGAATAAACAAGCTTTCCATTGATGTATGGTTTGTTAAGATAGGATAGGATATTATATATTATATAACATTTGGCCAAGATACAACTATTTGAAAATCTGGAATCTGAGGGTGCAAAAAAATCAAAATATTGAGAAAATTGCCTTTAAAGTTGTCCAAATGCATATTATTAATAACAAATTAAGTTTTGATATATTTACGCTTCTTCTTTCAGACGAATCCAGTCGGAGTTATATAAAAAATGATCTATATTGCAAGTTAAATAAAAGCCCATCCATAAAAAAAAAAGTGTCTCACATGGCTACGGGAGGTGAACAAAGGCCTTCTGTAACGAATCCATGTGTTTTTTTTGTAAGAAAAATATCCATATTCAAAACGTAATAATCACTTTAATGTAGCTTGCGCCAACAGTTGTACACGGAAGCAGCTCCAGCAAGTCATATACACCTTGAGGGTGAGTAATTTATGGGCTAATTTTCATTTTTGGGTGAACTAACCCTTTAAGAGAAACACTTTTTAAAGGGACAGTTCACCCAAAAATGAATTCATTTACTCACCCTCAGTCTGTTGCAAACCTGTATGAGTTTCTTTCTGATGAGTTAAATTGTCATTTTGGTGAACTGTCCCTTTAAACACAGTCACATGCTCTTACTTGTGATGCCAGGTGACATGCAGCTCGTCGTTGTAGTAGCTGACGAAGGTGTAAAGCCTGATTCCCTCCTCTGTGCTCTGGATCTTCAGTGGAGTGGAGGAGTTCGCTGGACAGAAAGAACGTCAACATCGCTCACATGCTGCTAAAACTATGTTTAAATGTAAATATATACTGTGAGTGTGAAGAAAATTGATAATTTTGACCCATACAATGTATTGTTGGCTATTGCTACAAATATACCCCAGCGACTTAAGACTGCTTTTGTGCTCCAGGGTCACATATGTTTGTGATTTATATGTTAATATATATGTCAAAAAAGTCATTTTGCTGAATTCAAGACTGTATTAATACCCCGATATATTATATTGTAAAACATTAAACAAGTGTTTATATCATTGTATTATATGTTATAATGTACTTGCTATAAAAATAAGACTAGAATAGAATACTGACCACATTATTTAATTTTTTTGTAATAAATAAAACATTTGACATTTAATGCACACTATGTATTTCAACAGGCTGCATACTTTTATTATCCGTCTTTTTGTAACACGTTTATTCCTGTAAAAAAAATAAACTGTGGCCATGAATTTAGAAATCATTGAGCATGATTTATTAATTAATTCCCATGATTTAATTACAACAAAGCAATGGTTTAACTAAAACCAAGGAAATAAGGAATACAATGTAACTAGTGGGAATGACTTTTTTTCACGTCATGTGCAGGGCTTTGATATTTTTAAGGTCTGGGACAGTTATACTAGTAAATAATTGCAGGATTTTCAGTGTTTGTATTGCCTGTGCAATTTTTTTAAAGGAGGAAAGTCATATATAATAGCAATACCAATGAACATTTTTTTGTTTTTTTAGTTAATCATTAACTAAACATCTCTCCTTAATATTTAAATGCTTGTGGAGGCCATATTTGTCAGCAGGCATATTGTTGACCATGTTTTCAATGTCTGGATAACTGTGAGAAATGATTCCAGATATTCAAATAGTTGTATCTCAGTCAAATATTGTCCTATCATAACATAACCATACATCAATGGAAAGCTTATTTATTTAACTTTCAGATCATGTATACATTTCAATAAAAAAAAAAAGACCCTTATGACTGGTTTTGATTTTGTGGTCCAGGGTCACAATTTACAACTAATTTTGGTTTGAAAATGATGTTGTAAATCTTACCAATAACACTGAAAACCTGGTTCATCAGGTCTTTGAATCCTGAAAAACAGATGATAGAAAATAATTTTTAAAAGATCAGTTATGATGAGACATATATTTATGTAGCGATTGTTGTAGGGAGCTGAGAGTATAAGTGTTAAGGGACAATTTATATGTAAAATATATAGCATGGCATTAAATTATACCACAGCGCCACAGAGTCTTTCTTCATATTAGCAACCTGCATCACATGTTAATATGTCAATAATAAAGAAACCGGCAGCATTAGAGTTGAAGTGGAGTGTTTAATCAGAGAGACGGCTCACCTTACACTTCAGTCTCACACAGCACTCAGGTGTGACTTCATAACCGAGATACTCCACGAAGTGTGGACCTTACAGAGCATGAACGGCACGATTAATGTACAGACACAGTGGATATACAGTATTTTTTAAATAATACTGCACATATAATCATACCTTGCTTTCTAATCCATTCTTTTTTCTGGAACTCTGATTCCTTCTGTAACTGCTTGAACACTGAAGGAAATGAGATGGTGTTATTGGTACACACTCTATACATGAGATGCATATATGTATATGGACTTTTAGATGTACCATCTCCGATCAGCACTAGACTGGACTGGTTAGTGGCTTTGCCGTCTTGAAGCTGGAAAGTGAACGTTCCCTCGTCCTCTTTGCCCAGAGACTCCATGAACATCTCAATGATGCCAGTATTTTTATCAAAGTTCATCTTGTATTTCTACAACACAGAGTAAGTGTTAATGCAGAAGCAAGCCAAAGGACTATTTCCAGTCAACGGCATGTATAATGCTTCATGCGCTGCATGTTTGTTTCTGTGTTCCTCTAACCTCTCCCTGGTGGACCACATTGTCATTGAACACGTATTCAGCTTTTCCATTGGCAGAGATCTTCTCAGCCTGCAACCAGAAGCGAACTCTGCCCTTCTCCAGCAGCTCCACGGCCAGCTCTGTCTTCAGAGGGATGACTGGAGAGGAGGGGCGAAAAAGTTTTGAAAACATTAATTCTGTCCTGAATAATATCCATTGTTTTGGAGACCTATGGCAGGATGGGAGTTGTACTGAACCTTGATACGTATGCTCTGTTTTTGTGTTGAAACGCAATATCGTAACCAGCCATGATGCAATCGATAAACTGGCAAGCAATACATCTTTCATGCTGAACAAGCTTTTGTCTTAACCAAGGATAAGTGTCATGTGGCACAACATTTTGTCTCTCTTGTCAATCTCATTTGTAAAATCCTACATCACAGAGCTGTATTCTAAATGTAGGACATTAGTTGTTTTTTCATTTCACACATTAATTTGCTTTTGTTTATAGAACACAACAATTAGTGGTTAGAACACTATTTAATAGAACTACTCTTGTGAAAAATGAGTGTGTTTAATTGTGCAAATAAACTAAAAAAACTGCACTTACAGTGCCTTGCGAATGTATTCATACCCCTTCATTTTTTTTCAGTTGCTGCCTTATGCTAAACTGCTTTAAATTACTTTTTTCCCACATCAATCTACACTCCATACACCATAATGGTAAAGCAAAAAACAGGTTTTCACATCTTTGCAAATTTATTAAAAATAAAAAAACTTAAATGATTCCATTGCATAAGTATTCATACCCTCATCTGGGACAGTTGAAATTTAGCTCAGGAGCATTCATATCGCTTGTAGATGTCACTACACTTCGAGTGAAGTTAACCTGTGGCAAATTCAATTGAATGGGCATGATTTGGAAAGGCACACACACCTTAATAAACAGCTGATAATGCATATCAAAGCAAAAACCAAGCCCTGAGGTCAAAAGAACTGCCTGTAGAGCTCAGAAATAGGTTTGTGTCAAGCCACACATCTGGGGAAGAGTTCAGAAAAAAAAAATCTGCTTCATTTAAGGGTCTCTGTTACCCTTAATGGAAGAAGTTTGAAACAACCTGGACTCTTTCTAGAGCTGGACATCTGTTCAAACTGAACAACTGATGGAGAAGGGCTTTAGTTAGTGTGGTGACCAAGAACCTGATGCTCACTCTAGTTGAGCTCCATGATCATATGTGACCCTGGACCACAAAACCAGTCATACAGGTCAATTTCAACTCAACCAGTCAACAGCTACAGCGGAATAAATAAGTTTTTATTGATGTATGGTTTGTTAGGATGGGACAATATTTGGCCGAGATACAACTATTTGAAAATCTGGAATCTGAGGGTGCAAAAAAATCTAAATACTGAGAAAATCTCCTTTAAAGTTGTCCAAATGAAGTTCTTAGCAATGCATATTACTAATCAAAAATTAAGTTTTGATATATTTACGGTAAGAAATTTACAAAATATCTTCATGGAACATGATCTATACTTGATATCCTAATGATTTTTGGCATAAAATAATATTTTGTGCTCCAGGGTCACATATAAACCACGTATGCCACGTATGTACGCGGATACGCTGTTTACGTTCAGATCAAAGCGTAAACAACATAAACAGTGTATCCGCGTATGGTGCTGCTCACATATGTTGTTTATGTATGTGATACTCTCCAAAATGGTGCTATAGGGTGACGTGGAGGAGACGAATTGTTGAATAAAGTCGTTATTTTTGTTTTCTTTGCGTATTCTCATAGCTTCGTAAAATTACGGTTTAACCCCTGATGTCACATGGATTATTTTAACGATGTCCCTGCTACGTTTCTATGCCTTGATCGTGTTAGGACCCTTGCTGTCTATGGGAGGATCAGAAAGCTCTCGGATTTCATCAAAAATATCTTAATTTGTGTTCCGAAGATGAACGAAGGTCTTACGGGTTTGGAACGACATGAGGGTAAGTAATTAATGATATAATTTTCATTTTTGGGTGAACTATCCCTTTAAGTGTATTACTTTAAAGTAATATAAAGCATTATTTCCACAAAAAGTCAAAAAGGGTCTATAGGGTGACGTGGAGGAGACGAATTGTTGAATAAAGTCGTTATTTTTGTTTTCTTTGCGTATTCTCATAGCTTCGTAAAATTACGGTTTAACCCCTGATGTCACATGGATTATTTTAACGATGTCCCTGCTACGTTTCTATGCCTTGATCGTGTTAGGACCCTTGCTGTCTATGGGAGGATCAGAAAGCTCTCGGATTTCATCAAAAATATCTTAATTTGTGTTCCGAAGATGAACGAAGGTCTTACGGGTTTGGAACGACATGAGGGTAAGTAATTAATGATATAATTTTCATTTTTGGGTGAACTATCCCTTTAAGTGTATTACTTTAAAGTAATATAAAGCATTATTTCCACAAAAAGTACTCTTACAAGTATGCTAAAGCGTACAGGATTGAGCAAGTGCTCACACATTCAAAATGAAGTTAATGAAATGTTTCAAGAGTGCATGTGATGTGATGTTTACTCACTGGGGAATTTGTGGTCGTGGCTGACCTTCAGGAGTTCTTTTAGAGCTGCGAGGAACAGGACAGAGAAAGGATCAGAATCAATAACCAGTGTTAACTTGGTAAATTCAAACATATAAAAATGAAAAAGGTCAATGAACTCACTTTCCTCAGAGAGTGTGTAGCTGGCAGAGGCTCCATCAGTGTGTGTCACAAAACAAGAGTAGATACCCAGGTCTTCTTCTGAAGGTGTTTTAAAGATGGCTTTGGACCTACAGACCAGTATAGAAGAATTACTGCAAGATGATCCCATGCTAATCTTTTTCTTGAAATGTGATGAAATTGTTTGCTACATTTAATAAATAATATATTTTTGTAAATATCCAGCCCAAGAGACTTTTAAATATGATTGATTAGAAGGTATACAAGTTAAATACCAACAATACGAAGTCTGTCATGATTTACTCAACCTCATGCCTTTTCAAACCCTCATCTTTGAAACTAAAATTAAGATATTTTTAATATTCTCTCATGATTTTGTCCATCCATAAAAAGTCAATTAACAAACAGAAGCTCAAATGTGCATGCAGAACTAGTGAGGTTTGTTCTCACATGTCATGCAAGCATATTTGATCCATAGTTATGCTCAATTGACCAAATTTGATGTGCTCTTTGTATGTGAATTTATCAATATTTATATGTGAATAAAAGCATGTTCATCATACAAAACAACCGTGTCTCTTCAGAAGACTTGGATTAAACTGCTCGATTCATTTGGGTTACTTTTAAGATGTCTTTATGTACTTTTTGAAGCTTGAAAATGTTGACTACCTAGACTTTCAATGGATGCACAAAAATGAATATTAAAGTAATAGTTCACCCAAAAATGAAATTTTGCTGTTAAAAATCATCCTAATGACAGGTTTGTTTCTTACAAACTGAACTGATGGACTGGAGTGGTGTGGATTACTTGTGGATTATTGTGATGTTTTTATCAGCTGTTTGGACTCTCATTCTGACGGCACCCATTCACTGCAGAGCATCCATTGCTGAGCAAGTCATGCAATACTACATTTCTCTAAATCTGTTCTGATGAAGAAACAAAATAATCTAAATCTTGAATGGCCTGAACGTGAGTAAATTTTAGCAAATTTTCATTTTTGGGTGAGCTATTACTTTAAAAAGATGCTATTTACACTACATGCAAATAGCAATGGATTCTATTTACACTGTAAGGAGTATTTTCTTTGCAGTAATAATAGTTAGATGCTATCTAGTGCAAATAGTGGCAGATATCCGCACCTCAGTATTGTAGTACATTATAAAACATTATAAAACGGATAGTTCCGGTCCTTGATTCTGATTGGTTGAGCCAAGTTCGAAGCTGTTGTAAATTACAAACATACACCTTTGTTTACATTTGTGTGCTGCTCGGCAACCACTTTGTTGGAACCACAACCGTTTCTAAGGAACTACATTGTTTGGTGGAAGAATACTGTTTTTATTAATATCATTACACTTTATTCGCTCTGTTTTATTTTGTGAAACCTTACTACGTATATGGAATAACCGTTTTATAAAAGCAGTAAGCCCCGTGAAGCCGTGGTTATAAATCCACTGTAAACCACGGCTTCTTGGGGCTTATTGCTTTAGTATGCAATAATAATGTATTGAGCGTAAATTAGAATGTTAAAATTATTAAATGGATGCAGCTTTGGGATACAGCCCTCCCTACACCTACCCTAACCCTAATCAATAAACACCCATGAGGCACGTTATTTTCAATTCAATTATTTCCTTCATTTTTATAAGAATAAAGGTCTTATGGGTTTGGTACAACATGAGGGTGGTAATGACACAGTTTTAATTTTTGGTTGAACTAACCCTTGAAAACATTATTTTAAATATTAATAATTTAACAAAGCTCATTATTAGCACATACGCACTTACTTGCTACCCTTGGTCTCTAAGGTCATGCGTTCAGGTTCTGTCATTTCCACGTAGTTCTTGGACCAGACGAATTTGGAGTCAGCGGTGAGGTTAGAGCACTCAAAATTCAGTGAAATGACGCCATCATCGTCAACATTCACAACTATCTCAGCAGTACCTGTGAGAAAGATATAGCTTGTTGGCTTTTGTCGAGAGTCGTTAAGTCTTGGTGGTTTTGGTTTGTTTTAGGGTTAACCTGAATTTAAGAAGAACTCTAAACAGACTCCTCACTTCCTAAAGCACCCACTGTAAAGATTACGTGTTTGTGTTGTTTTGTTCTTTCCTGTTCACTCTGATATAGCCGCATATGGTTTTGTTCAACATATACTCTGAATCAAGTTCAGCATGGTCTGCTTCACCTTAAAGTCAACCGTATTTACAATCCTTTTCACTACTGTAATAACAGAATGAAACAGGATATTCAATGGAAAAATGGCAGAACTGATTTTATCCATCAGGAATTGTTTGGGTCATGAAAAGTAGTCTCTATACAACCTGTGTTTGGAGGATAGGGGTTGAAAAATAAGGAGTGGTGATGTCATCCCCCCCCCTCCCCACCAAAAATAAAAGATTTCAAGTTA